GACTTGCAGACAAATTTGACTTATTGACAAATTTCCATTTTCTCAGGAATGGAACCTGGTTGTAACCTGGGGACTCTCTGTATATTGAAGAATTTCACTGCTCACCTTGAACTTTTGTTGTATAACAGTTGTTCTGTTGACCTTAATATGATTAATAAGCATTCAGCTGTTCATATCTCTGCTAACGTGAAGATAAACCACTCATTTGCCTTCACAATACTGGACACAATTCATTTTAGAGCAGCCAACACTACAATGGCCTGAACAACACTTTTCCTATGGTGGTACTTTCCAAGGCCACATTTTATTTGCACTTAGTAATTCAACTACCCAAGTATTTTGCTGTCTATTAAACTAAATCATTGAAGTATGGCTTGAGAACTTACGTGCATCCAAATGCTTAATCTAAGTTACAGTTTTTAGGAAGCGTAAATCTTCAAAGCAAAGTCACTTGAAAGCTGTCAACGAGTGTGTTCTTGGCCTGAACACAATCTATAGACCTTTTCATATATTGAAAATTTACATGCAACCAATAAATTTCAAAGAAAAGTGTCCATATTTTTAGTTTGCTGTTTTAGTTCCACTTTGATGTGTTGGCAAATGAAATATGATTAAAACAACATTCACTTGGCTTTAAGGTTTCATGCCTTTTGAATAACCAGAAATGAAACCAGTATTATTTCCAATGATATTTTATTGCAATATTAATGACTATTTGGCCAGAGAAAGTCTAGCAGTCCTAACAGCTACTTTATTAAAACTGGCTAATAATATTTTTTCATCTAATATAACAGATCAAAATACAACTATAATTAAACATTTTCAACAGGAGTAAAAAGGAAATTGTATGAATAAAATCTAACCTTAAAATATATCCTAATGTTCACTCTTCAGCTATGCAAACGGCATTAGTAAAAAGTGTGGCCATTTGGCCTAGCATGTCACACTTTCCATATGTGTGTGCATGTGTGCACATGTGTATCTTCAGAAAGAGAGAAAGATTATTTACACAAGCATTTCATCCTCTGCCAACTATGAATTTTGACAAACCAAACTACCAGGGTTATTTACCACACGGTGAGCCTAGATCACCTTTGCCATTTATCTCCACCTGTACATGGTCAGTGATGCCTGCTGAAAACTAAAAGTCAGTGAAAGCACAGCTCACTGACCAGGAGATGGCACCAGTCTGTCTGCACGTCTGTGATCACATGGGCAGTCATACGCAAAAGGCCATATTAACCAAGATTGACCATGTGAAGCCCTTTTGTTCGAAGGAGGCATGATGTCATCATTATGGGGGCCTTCAATCTCCCAATATCTATTGGGAGACAAATTCTGCCAAACATGGCCCCTTCAAGAGATTCCCAATGTGTGTGTCTGAAAACTTCCTCCAACAGAAAGTAGATGAAGGAATGAAAAGAATGTCCACTAAAGAAAGACCTAGTGGACAAAGTAGCAGCTACAGGAACTCTGGGGGAAAGTGGCCATGCCATACTTGAGTTCTCAGTTATCAAGGCAGCAAAAGCCAAATGTGGTCAAACATGTGCCCTGGATTTCAAGACAGCCAACTTTAACCAACTCAGAACAATGATAACCAAAGTTCCATGACAAGTCATTCTAAAGGGAAAAGGAGTCCAAGATGCATGTAAAATCTTACAAAAAGAAATTCTAAAGGCACAACTACAAACAATTCCAACATTGAAAAAATGTAGAAGACAACAGAGGAAGCCCATGTGGCTTTGCAAAAAGTTTAAAGATGAACTGAAAACAAAAAAGGACATATATAAGAAGTGGAAGGAAGTGTGTGTGTGCGTGTGTATAAAAGAAGTGGAAGGAAGGCCAGGGTACAAAGGAAGAATACTGGCAGGAAACACGGAATTGCAGGAATGGCGTCAAGAAGGCTAAAGCTAGGAATGAACTGAGGCTAATGAGAGACGCTAAAAGCAACAAGAAAAATGTCTTCAGATACATCCAAAATAAAAGACAGATGAAAGAAAAGGGAATTGATTGATAAAATGATGACAGATGACAAGAAAGGCAGAAGGGTTCAACTATTTTCGCTCGTCTCCCAAAAGAAGATCTAGAACTGTCTTATCAAGTTCAAATCTTTAGGGCCCAATGAACTCCATCCTTCAGTCATAAAGGAGTTAGCAGAAGAACCCTCAGAAACACTGTCTATTATCTTTGAGAAATCATAAAAAGGGGGTAAAAAAAGAAATCATGGAGGACAGGGGAAGTGACAGATGACTGGAGAAGGGCTAATGTTACTCCTATCTTCAAAAAAGAGGCAGGGGGTAAGAACTTGGGAAGCAGGGACCAGTTAGTCTGACATTAACCCCAGGAAAAATCCTGGAGCAAATTATAAAACAATCAGTCTTCAAACATCTTGAACACAATGCAGTGATTACTAAAAGCCATCACAGATTTCTCAAGAATAAATCTTGCCAGACAAAGTTCATTTTTAAACTGGGTAACCCCCTTAATGGACTGTGGGAATGCTGTGGACATAATCTGTCTTGACTTTAGAAAGCTTTTGACAATCAACATCTTGATTAGCCAACCAGCTAAAAGTGGGCTACACAGAACAACTATTAGGTGGATCCACAATTGCCTACAGAATTGCACTCAAAGAGGATTCATCAAACTGAGAAAAGGTAACAAGTGGGGTGCCGTAGGGTTCGGTCTTGGGCCCAGTGCTCTTCAACATTTTTATTAATGATTTGGACAAGGAAGAACAGGGAATCATTATCAGATATGCAGGTGATACAACATTCGGTGGAATAGCTAATACCCGAGAAGACAGAAAGAAGATCCAAGGTGATCTTGATAGGTTAGAATACTAGGCAGAAAACAACCGAATAAAATTCAGCAGGGACAAATGCCAACTCCACCACCTAGGAGAAAGAAACAAAATGCATCACTACAAGATGGGGAATACTTGGCTCAACAATACTGCCAGTGAAAAGGATCTTGGGATTGTTGTAGATCACGAGCTAAATGTGAGCCAACAATGCAACGCAGCTGCAAAAAGTACAAATACTATTTTAAGAAGTACTAGTTTTCCTATAAGCTTTAGTCAGATCTCATCTGGAGTACTGTGTCCAGGTCTAGGCACCACAGTTTAAGAAAGATGCAGACAAGTTGGAAAGGGTTCAGAGGAGGGCATCAGGGATGGTCCAAGGTCTGGAAACAAATCCCTACGCTGAGAGATTGAGAGAACTGGGCATGTTCAATCTCAGGAAGAGAACACTGAGGGGAGTTAGAATAGCCTTCTACAGGTACTTGAAAGGCTGTCACAAAGAGGAAAGAAAGAATCTCTTCTCAATCATTCCAGAGTGCAAAACATGGAATAACAGACTTAAGTTATAGGAAACCAGATCCTACTTAAACATCAGGAAAAGCTTCCTCACTGTCAAACCAGTACAACAATGGATCCAATTACTTAGGGAGGTTGTGGGCTGTTGCACAGCAGGGGCATTCAAGATGTAGCTGAACAGCCATCTGAGAGGGGGGGGACCAACCCAATGGCCTCTCTTGGCCCATTCCAACTCTACTATTCTATGATTGCAAGACCACTAATGGGGAAAGCACTCAGCCACTGCAAGCATTTCCACACTAGTGTACAAGCAGAGGCTTCTTGTGCCCTATGGACACAATGTATGTAAGCCGCCCCGAGGCTTCGGCGAATGGGGCGGCATAAAAATGTTTTAATAAATAAATAAATAAAATGTAACTGAGTTGTGTCACGTCTCCTTTAATGACGCAATAAGTATATGACCATTTGTCTGTGTCCCTTGGCAAAAACTGTGCTCTATTCCTTTGTCACATCCTACCTAGATGGCTACAGTGTTCTCCTCTCTGGTCTTTTGTCATCTCACACTAGTGCCTTATTGTCTATCTAGCACTCCTTCCAAAATAATTCACTGCAACCATCACATTGATTATGCTCCTTATTATCCTCCTTAAAACCCTATGTGGTTTCCTGCTCACTCCTGTATCCAGCATAAATATTTTGTCCTTACCTTCAAAGCCTTATTCCCCATACGCCCTTGATCTAATATTCTAATTCATCCCTGATCATGATCTTTGTTCCTCCAGCTCTACCACTTTCCATCATCCAAAGCTTTGCTGCTCCCTCAGAAAACTTCAACTTTTCCATTTGACTGCCATGCAGAGAAGGAACACATACGAGGTGCCAGCTCTTTTGCTCTTTTCCAATCCCTTCTCAAAACCCACCTTTCCATGAAGTCTTTTGCAAAACTCAGCATCCCAACCAGCTATGCATCGCTTCCCTGTTTTCCCTGCTTCTCCTCCCGCCGTCGTGTCCCCTGTGAAGACTGAAAGATCCTCAAGGCAGGACCTTTTCTCCTTTACTCTGCAAAGAACTGAACATGCTGTGCTGATTGCACTACATGATTCACAAGTGATACCAATATAAAATATTTAACCATGCATACAATAGAGTGCACAATGGAAAGTTTAACATTTCTATATAATTTTAACAACTTGAATATACATCACACCCCCAGGCTCAGGTCACTGTTTTCTAGGACACCGCCAACTGCTGTGCCTACATATGTAGGATATGTTACTTTACCTCTGTCCTGCCCACCACATTTTCCTGGTTCACACAACCATGGTGCGAAGAAATAAAATGCACTGCCAGCCATGTGCTGGGGCATTTAATCATTACACACGTGAAAAGCAATCTGGTGCAGCTTACTGTGTTGTGTGAACTTTCTCATAGAAACTTGTTGCCATGAGTAACAAACTACCAAGAACCCAAGGTCTGTTTTAGGTTCTGGTGTCACTTTTTAACCACGGAAACTAGCCCCTCTTGCCCCATTCTGGCAAAAGTAATTAGGCAACCTACCCACCAAGTCTGTGCAGTGGGGGCAACTGGACACTGTGGCTTACTCTTCCCTCTAGCATGATGAAAAAGATAGCTCTACAGCCTCTTAACTGGAGGATTCGGTTTAGCAAGAGATACTACTTACAGCCGTTCTAGTTGTTTTAGATCCTGAAATGCCCCACGTTCTATCACAGTAATCAGATTCTCTTCCAAGTGCCTATAAAAAACACATGCATTAATGTTAAAAGAGCAAGCAATCTCTGTATTATTCAAGCTAGGCATGTAAAAGATCTTTTCCCCTAAATATTAAATTGTCTCTGTGAGTCTCTGTCCAGAATTAATACACAAGTAGACACTGACACTTTGAAAATGGGTTTCTCTCTCATTTTTCTTTGCTTGTCTTTCTCGTGTGTCACACTGATATGTGACACAGCAACTAATTAAACCACGCAACTTACTTCTGAATAAACATGCCTAGGACTCTGCTGCATCGTATGCTGTATTCATCAGCACTGCTCAGTTAGCTAGACATGAGGATTAATTAATAACCAATGCACACTTCAATCAATAGCTGTCAACTGAATACATAAAACATCTTAATTGAAAAGCCCTAGATTAGAGGTCATCTCAGCTGATTTATATCTTTCTGGTTTTGATCTGTCATGGCTCTTTCATGCATACAAGTTATTACTTGATACTGCAGGGTTTGAGTGATGAATAGCCATGGGCAAACTTGCTGAAGGCTGAAATTCTAAGCATACTTACTGGGAGTCAGAACCAAAATTCCACAGAGCTCAGTGAGATAACCATATGAGAAAATGTCTTTCAGCTCAGATTTTTAAATCTGCCCATTTTGTTAAGTAAGTATTCATTAGTTTGCTAATCTGTTAGTACATGAATATTTCAACCATGGCATCATTTCAGTAAATCAGACCACTGTCTAGGTTGCTTTTTGCTTCCAGCAGAGTCTTCTTGTGAAGTGTCACTTATGCTGTCTTATAAGTGCATTGAGCTCTACTGAATTTCCTACTTACTAATGTATTAAAACCAAATTTTGAACCTGCAAAAAGGTACAAGTTATGTATCAAAATCAAGTGAAACGAATACCATTAGTGTCCAAACAGACTGCACCGCTGAAAAGGGCAATATACGAGTATGTACCTGCTGAAGGCAAAGCCATACTAAAGTTTCTCACAGGCAGACAGAACACAAGGCAGTGCATGGCTTAGGGTAGCTACTGAATATTAAACAAAGGAATTGCTTTAAGAAACATTTTTTTCATACTCACAGAACACGAAGATTCTTAAGCCCAGCAAAGTCCACCTTTGTAATCCTTGTGATGTTGTTTCTGTCTAAGTCACTGCAAAGGAAAATGCAAATTCAGCTTGACACAAGCACCTGCCAGGCATTTCAACTATTTAGCAATAATTCAGCAGCATCAATTAACTGAGAGAGTACATCTACTGTTCCATGTAAGATTCACAAAATACACTTAGCCAAGATGAATTTATACATGGCAAGTTTGTAACGATTAGTGTGCCAAACAATACCAATGGCACTTTGCAGGCAACCCACTTGCGGAACTATTGTGTTTTACTTTTTGCTATAGCAGTCTTTTCCAAAGCAAGCATAGATGGATTTTAGGCATCCTGTGCTCTTGTTATTCTCGACTGATGTTAGTTATCTGTATGGATGCCAAGGCACAGTTAGGAGCCAGAAGTGCGCCTTTTTCAGCACTGACCCTGAATTAAATGCCACCCAAACAAAGAACAAGCCCTGGTCCATTCTGCAGAAAACAATCTTAAGGATACAGGGCCCAGCAAACCAGGAATGGACAGCTCCCTCTGAAGGTTATGAAACGTAATGTTTTTCTTTATACTTGGCATGCAAGGCAGTTTGCAGAATCTGAAAAATGTCAAACAGTATCGACAATGTCTTGTTTATTTTTAAAAAGTGAGTGTCGGGCTATCATAGCTTCAAAGAAGAAATGAGTGTATAAAAATCTTCAGCATTCCAGAAGAACAGATTTGGTATTGAACACAACTACAAACTGGGTGGCTTTAAAGGGGGATGAGTCAAAGGCATGAAGGAGAAGGCTATCAGTAGCTACTAGCCAGGACAGCTGTGTGCTGTCTCTGCGATCAGAGGCCTCTTGCCCCTGGATGACAGAAGGAACAGCTTGTCTTGACTGTGAGATTTCTATAGCCACTCTGGGGTCAGAATGCTGGACTAGACAGCCCTTGCTCTGATCCACCAACCCTCTTGCTATATTCTGATCCCCACTCCACAATGGGGCTACCAGTTTTAACAGACAGTCATACTGCACATTACAACTGCAGTGCCAATGCATTCTTCCTGTCCCTACTCCCTACTCCATCATTACTGGTCATTAAAACAATTAGCATCATATGGATTCTAGAAACACAAAAATCTGAATCATGTATACGAACTGAAAATTTACAATATATTAAACATGGTCTGATGTACTCATTTCATATTGACATATATTTCTTTGGAGTGGAATTGGTATTTTCTTCACATACGTTTTCTGCTTTTGTTTTTAGCAATGTTTTTTCATGTCTCCACTTGCATGTAACACGCATACACACACTCAACCCCTTAAGATTTACATTTCCTTTAGATGCTCTTAAGGACTAAAGCATATTTAAAAATAACTGACAAGTACGAAGCCCCCCTCCAAATGCAACCCCATGCTTGTTTACTTAGAAATCCCATTGTATCACTAATGTGTACTTTCAGTGCCCTTAGGATTGCAGCCTTAATACACAATTTTTAGGAAATCCCCCAGTCTGAGTAGCACAGCATTTTATATCTTATGTCCAAACATGGAATTCAGTTCTTCCAAAGGACTCATTAACAGGCTGCCATTTAGCCCTCCCTCACCTAACTCTTATAATTTCTTGACAGAATCCTGGTACTTCAATCAGGCTGGATCCGACCAGGTGTTGCAGACTACAACCTTCTTACTAGGTTCTCCAAGGCAAGAAGTTAAATCTTACTATGTGGAGTCAGATGGGGGAACTGGGCCTCTTTCTCCCAAAAGACTGTACTTCAAGCTGGATGTTTCATCCAGCACTTCAAACAGAAAGTGAAGAGGCACAGCCAGATGCTCAACTGAAATGCCAAGGTTAACAAGCTGAGATAAGCCAAGGAGTTGGTGAGAACCAGACCATTTCTGGTTCAGGGGGAGACATTTTATTATTTATTTATTTATTTATTAAAACATTTTTATGCCGCCCCATTCGCCGAAGCCTCGGGGCGGCTTACAACAATCAGAGAGGGAGGGACATGATGGTGGTTTGATGTCAAGTCAAACAACACCCGGAGTTCTTGCCATCTGGCGCACAAACAACATGCGTTCCTTGAAGGTGAAGCCAACTCTGTTTCATGAGAAAGGGTGGAGGAGAATTCAGTTTGGAATCAAACCCTGATATGGCCAACAACTAACTGCTCAACTAGATAATGTTAATTTGAGGAAGCCTCTTGCTAACAACCATTATATTACTCCCTTTGTATCACAAACTGAATGGGTTCACACAGCACAACAAGCTACAGTGGTTTCTTATGCAGGATTCTATCCAAAACTTGAGGTTGTATTTCAGCATGGTATGTCTGGTTTTTCAAAACCATGATAAGAAACAACAGTTTGCTCCATAGTTTCTTCATTTCACCATGCTTTTTCTGGTTCTCCAAACATGGCATTGCACTGTGGTTTCCATGGTCCTAGGAAAAAAGAGGCAGCTAAAGAAGCTGCTCCAGCCATCCAGTGTAGGAATGAATTTCAGACATGGAGCTGATGGAATACATGCCCACAGTGAGAGGACTTAGCAAGGAGAGTGGAAAACACTTTAGCCCTGAAATCACTTATGCATCTGACAAGCACATTCAGACCAAAAACCCACACACTGTGGACAACCATGCTTGTCATGATGCATGAACTCAGCCACTGAATCCTTGCTGGCCAGCTTTAAGATAATAAACATGGCAGTTAGGAACCTATCCATCTGATCTCTTGGGAAGAGAGAAGGAGAGAGATCAGGGGAGCTACCAGTCTCACAGTATCAGAAGCAGGAAGACAAGTTATTTTCCACAATGTTATCTTCTTCCCCATTCTAGAGTTTGAATGACCCCTCTTTCCATGTTCTTTTGAACTAAGCAGGAACAGAGAAGGGGGCCCTGCTACGGCCAAGTCCTGGATCTTTGCTCTGGGGCTCCAGCTTTCTAGGGGCCAGGCCAGGCCCAACCAATCCTACTGGCCAAGCCAAGAAGCCCCTTTCCGGCTTTCATTCTCAGCTGTGAGAGTTCAACTGAAATCTCACAAGAGCTCACCTGGTCTCATAAGATTTCTGGTAAAGTCCTTCCAGGCTTTGGGTAAGTTGGGACACAAACTGACAAGGCAATCAGCTGCCCATCAGCCATCATCTTGCTGTGGCACATGTCACACGGGTGAGCAACTAGTGGGTCTCTCAAGAGCACCTGCTGGAGGCAACAATAGCAGCCTTCCTGGTGGGTGGAATGGCATAATTGGGCACCTAATGCAACCATGTGACCTTATGCCACCCCAACTTACAGTGCAATTCTAGGCATGTCTGTTCAGAAGTAAGCCCTGTTAGATAATGCGACAGGCTGCCTGGACTCAGCAGGTCAAAAGCCAACCTTATGCTCTGGCAGAAAACACCCAGGCAACTAAGGTCTGCAGATAAAGATGGAATGGAGGCCTGCCTGGAAGAGACTTGTCCAATTAGGATAGTCTAGCACAGCTGGAGGAGAGTGACAGCTCAGCAGCAAAAGCTGTGTCTCACCTAGAAGCTCTTGGGAAGATGTTCTGGAAAGCATCAGAAAGAGAAGGAAGTAGGAGAGGAAAGCACTTGATGCCAAGACAGGAATGATGTATGTCCCATCATCAGCCACCTGCTTGGGTTTCCAAGTCAATTACTGTTGGTTAGTAGGAGTTTTAGTCCAGATTATGCACCATCCTTCTTTATAAACCTGCTTGTATTGGCGGTATTCCTTTTCAAAAATCTGTTTGTTGTTGCTTGAGGAATAGGTAATCTGCTGCACAAATTGGCAGGGCAGATTCCAGGAGTTGCAGAACAATCTAGAAAATCTTTTAGGGACACTTTCGCTTCCTCTTTGCCTCTGACACTGGGGAAATTTGGCCCAAGGTAAGAAAGCAATTGGACTCATTCTACACAGTTGAATAGATTGAAAGTCCCATTCTTTAACTGCATGTGTAGAGAACAGAGAAAAGCGGATACACTTGAAAAAACACTCAAGTAGAAAAGAATCCACCCTGTCAGGCATTTTATAAACAAAGCAACATTGTACAAGGCTTTGATTTTCTCCTGCAACAGCAAATAGCTTGAGTTGGGTTTCACATACTTGACAATTAACTATCACAACGCTTGGTATTTGTGAATGGCTGCACTGAAGGCTAGATATCTCTGATGGCCCGAACCTGAAGATGACCTTTCCTTCCCCCTCCCACTTCTACTTGCTCTCTCTCTCTTATCAGGGTCTTCCGAATTCCTCATTTGGAGGTGCTTTCTAGATCATAAAAAAAGAGCTTTTGCCTCCCTGTTCATCACTTCTCTCATTCTGCATGGTTCTTCAATAGGAAGAAGGCCGTCTGGGACATCCAATTGAAAATACCCACAAAAATACAAGTGGCAACATAGCTGCTATGTTTACACATGTGTGGCCATTGCTATTAGATGATGATGGTGTTTGTACTCATTTTGCCTCCAAAGAACTGTTAGCAACTGCATATGATTCCAGGCAAACCAAGTCAAATCCGCTTAGTTTCAGCAGCAGATTTGAGCTACATACTTTCACTAAGATACATCTCTATCTGGGCAGCCTGGCATCTCCCTCATTACCTTATTGATTTTTTAATTCTATATTGACATCCCAGCTTTTTTCCTGAAAGGAACCTAGAGTGGCTTGTTTAATCTGCCTGCTTCCCATTTTAACCTTAGAACCTTAAATTGTGAGTAAGTTAGACTCAAAGTCACCCATTGACTTTCATAGCTGAGGAGGACTAGAACTCCCGATCTCTCACGTCCTCATTCAGCACTCCAGCCACTATGCCTCTCTTAACACAAGAAATAAGCCAAGGTATGACAACCAAGTTTTATGTCCCTGCCAACAATCTACCTGGACCTCCTCAGAGTGGCTGGGTTCACACTTCATAGCAAGCAACCCTGATGGTTGCCATGGCTAATACCTTTTTACTGCGATCTATCTCTCATGGTTACTCTGCTCCTTTCCTCTAAACCCAGGAGTCAGTGCATGGAAGAAGGAGACCCTTCTCTTTGACAGCCATGATCATCAGCAGAG